ATATATATATATATATATATACATATCAACACTAGTCTTACAGGTAGAGGAAAGCAAGGGGAGTTCATGTATATGGAATTATAGTGGTCAATACACTGTGCTTTGCTTTTTGTTCCAACATGTTCTGCAACTTCCGCCCAGTTGCCGAATCCATACATCCCGATACCCTGAAGCATGCAAGAGTTCAGCCCCAAAACTCAAATGCTTTGAGACGCCATTTCTTTGCAAGAAAATTAAGAAATTCCACTAACTTTATAGTAGTAGTTGTAGCAACAATGATAATGGTAATGATCGGGGGGGGGGGGGGGGGGGGCAATAAGAAACAAGACAGATCAGTCAAGAAGAAAGAATACCTCCAGAAGTAACGTCTCCTCATCTGCATTCCAGTCTGGACAAATAAGTGGAAAAGCCAAATTATCCTGTTGTAAACAAAAGTTATCATTCATTTCTCAAATTGCCGATGATAAGAAAATATAACCAAAGATAAGGAATTCAAAGTGAAAATGTATTTCAGCATTTATGAACTAATTTATACCTGCCCAAAATTACACAAAAAACAGAATCATTTCAGAATGGGCATTGATACATACATACATACATACATACATACATATATATATATATAAGGAAAATTTAAGAATAGAAAGTAAATCACCAACCATAACCCTATAAGGATGATTGCTTTTGTGAGGAGTAACCTCAGCTCCAACAGAGAAGCACTCAATGCAGAGATCAAAATCAGGGCAAATTACGCATTTGATCCGAATTTTCCCGGAGATATCTTTGTTGCAATAATTGCAATGATACAAAGGGGCTTTCCTTTCACCATTTCCTTGCCCTAGCACCGCATTGTACGGTGTGGTCTCCGCAGGCTCTGCATTGGAAGCGATTCTCTTTCTTTTCGATGATCTACTGGAAATTGGAAGAGAAAACGACATAAATTTCACGAAAGAACACAAAATTAAGTTCCGAAAGAGTGAGCTTGAAATTGCAGCGAATTTGTACGAACCTCTGATTGGGATCATCGTCGGCGATCTTCGACACAGCCCGAGACCGACCCATCTGGTCGAATTACCCTAACAATGTCAGGGAAGGAAGAGAGAAATCACAAAAGAAAAAACCCTAGAAAAACCCTAATTCGTCATTTATTATCGGGAAAATTGGGGAAAAGTGGACACGGACTTGCTATTGCGATCACGTTTTCTCCGTCGCGTTCATTGAAACCTTGAGACCCATTAGCGAGGTGCTCAGATTTTTTTTTTCTTTTTATTTTCTTAATTCGAGTCAAATGAACAACAGATAAAAAAAAATGACCACTCAAAAGTCACGTTAAAACAATTTCAGAATCGGTTCGGATATAATTTTTAAAATAATCTCAATTTTACTTTTAAGTTACTAATTTATCGTGTTATTGTTTGGCAATTGGCGGCGGAGACAACAGTTGATATGTATCAAAAAGGCAAACAAATGTGGTAAATTCATGCTTCAGTTATCAGTGATTTAGAAAATTTAGAGACGTTTAATTTATAGATTTAAAATTATTTTTATTTTATGTATATTTTTTATAAAAAAAAATTATAAAAATTTATGAATTATAATTTAAAATTAAAAATGAATACAAAAAATAAATATTTCCTTAGTGATCTAGATTAAAAAGGTAAAACAATCTAGTCGATTATTTGTGTTAATCTATGAGCACATACTCCAGCGAGCGCTGTCGGAGACGGCTGAGTGATATATGTCGTAAGGGAATAATAATCTAGTAAATTATAAGTGAAAACATAGTAGATTACTTTCCAATGATTTGGTTCTAATTGACATTTAGCAGATTACCGGTTATAATCTACTAAATTACCTTTGATCAACCGAAAAATTTCAGCAAAACACATTTTAATTAAGAGAAAATTGATGAAGGGGGAAAGAGGGAAATAGACCCATTTAAAAATGGAGTAAAAATTGATAGGCTAAGTTTGAAAAGAGTTAGTAAATAGACCAACTCAGTGAAAAGTCTCAATTAAAAATCTAAAAATACCCTTAAATTAAAATAAAAATTCTGAATTCAAATAACCAAAAATTATTCCGTAAAAAAAGTCCAAATTCTTTTCTAATTGTCTCTCTCTCCTTCTCTCTCTATTGTTGTCGACTGCAAATCGGTTCCGACACATACGTTTGCGAGATCCGTTGCCCTCTTGGCTCCAGCAATCTCTCCTCCATGCAGTTTTGCGAGCAACGAAGCTCGCCATCTCCTATGTGTGATTGGCTTCACGATCTCCGGTGGCTTCGCGGGACTTGTAACACCTCGAAGAATTAAACGAGGTTAATTAAGGTAATTGAGATTTATTAGTATGCCTAATCTGGATTAATTAATTGATTATTGATTATTAAATGTTTCTGACGAGTAAATTTAAATAATTCCAAGATATTTGAATATTCTTAGTATTTATATTTTTACCCAGAAGTGTGTATGGGTAAATTTCTGGACTGTCATTTTAACCCAGACGAGAGTTGGCGCCTCGTCAGTTATATTTACGAAGGACTCACGATCCGAGAGCGTCAGTTCGTAGAGATGATGTGCAATGCTGAGTTTCTCCAAAAGGACCCCGAAGAGGCTTTTGAGTATCTTAACGAGTTAGTCGAGAAAGCCCACACATGGATTGGTCCAAGTGCTACTGACAGTACCAATCGGTCCCAACCGGCTGGAATCTATCAACTAAGGGAAGAGGACAATCTCAAAGCCCAAATTGAGTCTTTGACACGACAAATTAAGACCCTCAAAACCAAAGAAGGTGCTGAGATACATGAGCCTTGCTTTGTTTGTGAAGGTGTGGAACATCTAGCTAAGGATTGCCCTTCTTACAATGAAATGAGAGGGGTTTACGATGAGCAATGCAATGCCTTAGGATCATACAACAAACCCTTCTCTAACACATACAATCCTGGCTGGAGGAACCATCCAAACTTCAGTTGGAGAGATTCTAACCAAGCGTAACCATCTGGAGGACAATGAAGAACTGAGCAACAACCGCAACCACCAAAGGCGTATTCTGCACCTTAATACAATGCGCAACAGCCAAGGAGTTCTCTTCAGAACACCTTGCAATCTTTCATGGAGGCGCAGAGTAAGATGAACCAAAAGTTTGAGTCACTGTTCACGCAAATGGTGGAAGAAAGTAAAGAAATGAAGAGTCATATCACGAAGCTGACTAGAGCTTTGGAAATTCAAGAATGTGGCAAGTTCCATTCACAAGCTTAGTCCAACCCAAAGGGTCAACATATGGCACAAAGCTCATGTCCTGATAATCAAAGTATTAAGGAGGTGAATGCCATCACTAGTCATAGTGATAAGATTATGGAAGAACCATCAACAAGTGCCACCACTTCGAGTAGTAAAGAAGTTGTCCCTGACAAATCTGAGCCAATGAATATTCCAGTAAAGGTGCCTTTTCCACAAGCTCTGCGTCCAACTGGGAAACACCAAAGTGAGATCCTAGAGCACTTGACTCAAGTGAAGATTAATCTTCCTTTGCTTCATGTTATCAAGCAAGTGCCTGCTTATGCTAAGGTTATCAAGGATCTGTGCACTATCAAAAGGAAGCACCCTGTCAAGAAGACAACATTCTTGACAGAACAGGTAAGCGCGGTGATCGACCAGAAAACACCACCCAAATACAAGGATCCCGGTTATCCCACCATTTCCTGTCAGATTGGGACACATGAGTTCAACCAAGCTTTGCTTGATCTAGGAGTGAGTTTAACCTCACCAAAGAACTCTAGCCTAACTTGCACATAATTCCTATAAAATTCTAAAAAGAAAGTATGAGAAAAAGAGCAAGAAAATAAGAGAAAATGTGTACAAAACAAGCGCGCGTAAGCCAGCCCTTCTTTCCTCTCCGCGTGGGACCCAACTGTTCCCCCGCACATGCGCGCTTGGCATGCACGGATCCCTCCCTCGGGCGAGTTCCCTCCATGCGCGCGTCAGGCCGTTCAACATTCTTCTCTGCGTGGGTCCCGTGTGCAGCAGCTCTCCAATCACATACCGCCACGTGTTCCTATGGGTCCCAGCTGTCGGCCACTTCTTTTTCTCCGCTTATCAGCATACTGCCATGTGTCCTAGCACAGTAACATCTCCTCCTTCCGTGAATCAGCTTGCGCCACGTGTCCCACCCGTTTGGTATTTTCTAGCCAGCTTATCCGTTTTAGTTCCGTTGGGCTAACTTCAGGCTTTTAGCATTCATTCTCAAAATTAAGTCATGTAAATCCAATTTAAGTGGATTAGAACGTTTTATGTCTTTGTTTTTATTTCTCCTTTGCTGAATGTTTTCTTCTCATTTCCTAAGAACTCTATAAATAGGGCTTTTGTTAAGTGTGTTAGGTTGTTAATTTTAGCCTAAGTTTAGACATCTTTTTTTCTTTGGTGAGGTTAGAGAGAAACCTATATGTGAAGTGATCCTGAGTCGATTTTGATTCTCCATTTGTTCTCCAAAGTTTATATATTTGAGTGATTAATTTTCTTCGATCTTCTTCTAATTTCCCATATTGATATATTATATTGTCAACTTTTATATAAATCTAGTCAAGCTCTTTTTATGTGATTGTTGTATGATACTATATATTGGTAGGTATTATTTTATGAGTAGTCTTTTACTGTAATATTGCCAACGGTATATTGTCGTTTTTAGATTTCTCATAAGATAACTTTTCCTAAGACTAAACGTAAGAATTTTACTCACTCGAATACATTTTAATTCACATGTTCTTCAAATATATATTTTCTGATTGTTAGTTTGGGATGTGAAACTTTCAATTGAGTAATCTCAAAGATCAAAATCCATTTGGGTGAACGAAGCATATAGGAGAATCTTGATGCCTTACCGGTTTTAATTATATAATTTTCTCCTATATTTTTCTTACACTTAAACTTCTCAACAAAAATTCTACTCTATTTTATTTTTACTTTATTATTTATCTCCTAAAGCTTTTTATTTGCTAATCTTTTCTTGTTCAATTTGTCACTTCCTCGTGGGATCGACCGTCCTAATTGTGCTACAATTGACCGCTTGTTTTGTACACGTTTGGGCGTAATCAATGAGTTTACAGATGTATTCCCTGAGAAGTTACCTGGTTTACCGCCGGATCGGGAGATTGAATTCGGTATTGATTTGATTCCGGGAACAACTCCTATCTCTATTTCTCCTTACCGGATGGCACCTGCTGAGATGAAGGAATTAAGGAAACAACTCAAGGAACTAGCGAAAAAAGGGTATATGAGGAACAGTACTTCCCATTGGGGTGCACCTGTGTTATTTGTAAAGAAGCACGACGTATCTCTTCGGTTGTGTGTTGACTACCGTCAATTGAATAAAGTGAATGTGAAGAATAAATACCCATTACCGAGGATCGATGAGTTATTCGATCAGTTGGGTGGATCACAATATTACTTCAAGATTGACTTAAGGGCTGGGTACCATCAACTGAAAATCAAGGAGGAAGACATCCCAAAAATAACTTTTCGAACTCGATACGGACATTTCAAGTTTCTGGTAATGCCTTTTGGGCTGACAAATGCCCCAGCTGCATTAATAGATTTAATGAATTGAGTTTTTTGACCGTACTTGGATCAGTTCGTGATCATTTTTATCGATGACATTATGGTTTATTCGAAGACTTGGGAAGAACATGAGCAGCATTTGAGAATTATTCTTCAGACTCTTTGTGAGCACCAGTTGTATGCAAAGAAAGAGAAGTGTGACTTTTGGCTGACAGAAGTGAAAGTCCTTGGGCATGTGATATCAGGACGAGGAATTTTTGTAGATCCTTCCAAGATTGAGACTGTGCTACAGTGGGAAAGGCTGAAAAATGTGACAGATTCGAAGCTTCCTTGGACTCGTAAGGTACTATCGGCGTTTCGTAAGAGACTTCTCGAGCATTGCTGCACCGATGACTCGGTTGACTAAGAAAGAAGTCAAATTTGAATGGGACGCTGAATGCGAAGATACTTTTCAAGAACTGAAGGTTAGGCTGACAAGTGCACCAGTTCTGACTATTCTTGATAGTGAAGAGCCATATGAGGTGTATTCTGACACCTCGAGGAGTGGACTTGGCTGTGTTTTAATGCAAGGTGGACGCGTTGTAGCTTACGCATCTCGACAACTGAAGCCATATGAACATAATTACCCTACTCATGACTTGGAGCTGGCAGCGGTGATATTTGCTCTGAAGATATGGAGATGTTATCTCTATGGAGCAAAGTTTCA